ATGTCTCGTTCTCTGAAAACGTGTATGTGTATACGTTCCAGGGTACGATTATTTGACACGTTATGCGATTCTACGTCGCGATTGAGTGTTGAATGTTGAATATCGCTCGTAAACAGGAACAAAAGTCGTTTCGTCGCACGACCGACTCTTTTATTTAATAAAACCGTAGCTATACTTATTCTCCTTCAGATTATCCGAATACTAGTGAAGAGATCCGAAGTCGGTCAGACCCGGATGAGGTGATGAGGGGATGAGTGGGGACGTGACTCCGTCAACGTTGTCCCGAGTCCTTCGTCCAAGAGTGAACGGCGGTCCGTTTGATGGGCGTCGTGAGAATGGATGTGGGTCGTGAAGTCGTGAGATCGAGGTGCGCTACGGTGCGCTGAAGGGTGTACGAGAATAAGCGAAGCGATACGAGGGGTGAGATAAACTGGGAATCCAATTCACTGCCTATCTACAATGTAGATACAGGCTTTTTATACTAAAAATTCGAGTCATTTTTGTTAGAAAGAAATAGAATGCTGAGAAATTTTGGGGAGAGGAAAGAATACGAGAGAATGGGCTAGAAGAAATACGTACGAAGGAAAGCGGGAAGGAGGACGTCATATTTGAAATATAATTACTTTTCGGAGGTAAGCGCCCGCTGGGCGCGTGCTATTAATAGACGTCGGGACGGATGCGCGTGCTTGAATGAATTGAAGCATTCCTGCTGAGTCGATTGGGATGCCGTGGCGCGGATGAACGTAGGCGCAGTCGGACGGTCGATGAACGGAGATTCCGTGCTCAGTCGGAACGACAGTTCCACACTAGCCCAGCATCATGTATAGTCTACCGGAATCGTCGCTGCGTATTTTATCTCGCCCACTGTCATTGTATCCCGTTTGGTTTGGTGACTCGACCATAAGTCGGTCCCCAATACTTGGACTAATATTCACAACCGGGATAAAGCCCATATGTCTCACTTCAATTTCAGTTGGTCATGAATCTCGGATTGTCTTCGCTACCTTAACTTCTAAATGAGTCGGATCCATTTAAATACGTCTAACGGATTGCAAAAATCGAGTTCATATAATTTGAGAGCGTTTACATATTCAGAGAAATCTTATAAAGACAGATGATGAACCATAGAATGGCTGGTACAGAACACACTTCACTAAAACAAATCATTTCCGAACGCTTCTCCACAGTTTCGAATGTTACGGTCGAGTCCGTTAAGAGTGTTGTACCCTAGATCACATTTAAAATCTCGCATTATACACAGTTTTATATCATGGATTACTCACTGGACAAACCAAAAACTGTCTGGAGCTATGCAGAGTCCACCGTGAGCATTCTGACTGTCCTGGCAGTTAGGAGCAATAACGTCGACCACGGAAGCCTATGATATTCAAGTTCAGCTGACATACTTGTCCAAAAGATGGTGGAACATCTTACAAAGTCAGTGCGGCAATAGTCCAAGTCTACATTTACTTGATTCCTGAAGAAAGCGGTGCAGCTTGCAAACGCAGCAACCTAAGGCGTTTTGTTTAAACACTGTATGTCTTGGACACAAAAATGTGTTATTGTTTAAACATTATATTCCTATTTCCCAGCCCGATATCTCGACACATTTAAGCACTGTTTGAACATTTAAAGTATTACTATTTAAACACAAAGTAAATCAATATTTAAAAAAGCATATTTTACGACCATCTTAAACATCAGTTAAACAAGAATGCGTTCAATCAGGATACAATATCTAGTCTAATTTCGAGGTTAAGAAAATCTAATCTATAGTGATTATAAGTCCGTTCAAACGCCATTCAAGATTATTCCATGTACGTGCACAGACTGCTGCCCAGTTCACCTTGATCAGAAGGTGCTGAGAAAGAATGTGTTCAGAGAATATCCTTACCCTTGGGTACACAATCCGTTGCCGCATCCGATTACGAGAGGGTTTATTTAAATAAAATCATCTAAAACCAATATCTCAGATGAGGAGAAGATTAGGGAAGAGCTCACAGTGGCACAGGGAAATAGCGGGAAGAAAGGGAAAGGAGGTCGGTAATACACTGAGTTCCTTATTATATAGGAATGTGAGGACGCCACTAGTGGCACCACTGTGCGTGCTTTGGCCACTCACATCAAGTCGTTGCTTCGATCAAGCGCCACAGTGGCGTTTGTTGCGTGGCTATATTACATATAAGGACCGTCATCCGATCGAGCAATGAACTTCCTTTCTTTGCTCTTGCGAGCAGCATGAGTGGTGCACTCGAAAGTGGTATGCCCAGTGAACCTCGGAATGAGGGTGACACTGTATACAGATAGGTTAGTGCGCAACTTATATGTTTAAACACCAAACACACACTTTAATTAAACCCCGAATGACAGGATGTCCTCTCGCCAAAGGTTTCTCCGAAATATGTGTCTGAGTTGGCACGTTCACCTTTATTGCCTGAGCCTTCTCGCACCGGGTATGTTTCATATGGGCTTCAAAAGAGTGCTATGTACCACACAATGGCAGTGCGTGCTGCAAAGGCCTTCAAAGAGGCGGGAGGTGAATTACCATCGGATGACGAGACACTGTCGGAACACGTTGTCCGCCGGTGACCAGTCATGGGCCGCAGTCGATATTTGAGCACGTACGTCGTATTTTGCGTCATACTGATGGTTTCAAACTTTACTTGAACATGATGTAACAGGGAAATATGCGTTTAAACCCCAATTAAACGTATTCACACAATGTTCAACATCAACCACAGCTTGAACATCATATTTAAACAAACCTTAAACATTGTATTTAAACGCACCTTTGTATAACGCTTAATCCATGGTTAAACTCAGAGATATACAGTAGACATCGTTTAAGTGAGGCATTTATGTTTAAATGCATTCAAACAGTATCTGTTTAAACATATATCCTGCTTGTGTAATTAATTATAAGGAATATATGTGTTTAAACACCATGGATGCTTAAACACACATTGTAAGGTAGGACATGGGGTGTTTAAGCAAAACGCCTAGAAATTCACGCAAACGAGAGGGCCAGCGTGTCGTTGGCCTACATGATAGTGATTATATGTTAGAGTAAATTCTCAAATTTTTGGAATCACATACGCCAGTGGTAAGAAAAGTGGGAACAGTGAACACGGGGCCTACGTTCTGACTGTCGAAGCGGAGCGCGTCTACTATAATGTGGAGCATTCGCTCCGTCTGCGAACGGAAACGCATCAATCGACCGACCGACCATGCGCTACATCGATCGTACACGACATCCCGTTCGAGTCAGTGAGCAGCTCTCGACCGACGATTTCAATTCAGTAGTGGATAGCTCTCGGGGCATATCCCCGTCGACGTCTATTAATAGGAAGCGCCCACTCTTGACGATCGGCGCTTACCCCAAAAAGTAACCTTAATTCAAATTCGAACCCCGTCCTCCTCCCCCTTCGTTCGCAATCCTTCTATCAGGTTCTCTCGCCAATTGGCGATTTCTTTCCCTTCCTTCGCTCTCCCCGACGTTCCTCGGGCTTCTTATTATTTCCATCAATTTCTCCTGATTTTTCTTAGTATAAAAGGCCTGTAGTTTCGTCGTAGAGAGGCAGTGAATTTCACCCCCGATTTTCGACTCTAAAAATCTATTCGCCCACTTATCTTACTCTCCAAACGTCTTCGACGGACTTGTCAAGTATTTTCTCTAATCTAGACGTCCTTATTGTTATTTTTACAGTCTACTTCGGCGCGACTCGTCGTTTTCCACGCTCGCTCCCAATCGCGAACGCTCGCGCCCCGCCTCGTCGACGCTTCAAGCACCCTACGCCCGTCGATTCGATGCCTTTTGGTTCGGTACGCCCTCCGATCCTACTCCCTTTGTCTCCATTGCTCTGCGATTAAGGCATCCGTCTCGCTGCCAATATCTTTGGACGAAGAACTCAGGACGACGTTGACTGAGTCACGTCCCCACTCATCCACCCTCATCACCTCATCCGAGTGTAACCGACTTCGGATCTCCTCAATAGTATGGCAATCGTTGGGGTCAGGTCCTCCGCCAGAAGGTGGGAAGCAATGAGTGTCGCCTGAATAGTTTATTTAAATTTAGAAGCTTTCGTAGAATGCGGACTTTACTGACAAGCTACACCACAAACATTAAGAGACTGGCGTGCTTGGAGCAAAGCACCGTTCTCGACTGCGTCCGACGCATTGGGCGTGTCACAGGTAATGGTCTCCATTTTGACATTCTTGTCCTTTCCAATGAACTGGGTGGAAGTAACGACTTTGTTACCCGGGCATATGTCCTCTAATTGTAGCTTGTCAGTCTTGATCAGAAGAATTAAAGGACTAGGAACCCACCGACGACAACAGGGTTGCCTGCGACGAGGCCAATAAAAGCGAGGGGGAAGATAAGAAAGAGGAATAACATGTTAAAGTTGCTAGATGTCCAGTAGGCCAGTAGCTGCAGATACTCGACGCGACGTCTGGCTTTTAAGACGTTTAATGGTATGTGGAATGCATATGCGTGAGGCCACCGCATTCTTCATTTCGGGATGAAGCCACCGCATTCTTTGTCAAGTCTTTGCTTTTCACTCCCACACCACTCCTCTTCTCGACAAATCAGTTAACAATAGAGCTAAAGAGTTCGGCGACCTGATAGATTTCACTATTAGTACCAGCATTCCTTCGTACAGTGTAACGGATTCTTACATCGTCGTTAGACAACAGTTCCGAATCGAATATCAGTATATCTTTGTTGAGGCTGGGCTCTGCTGTCAACGCCTCGAATGCAACCTCGGCAATGTCGTCCGTCGCCCGTTGCCGAAACGGTTTGATTCCCATCGCGAATTCCAGTGGTCAGGGTGTTACCGAAGATTTCTATATCACATCGTCGGCGATTTCTTCGACCTCACGCTTCAAGGTCCTCAACCGAGCTGAGAATCTCAGATCCAGACAGATCCAGATCCTTATGCTTAGTGCAACGTTTGAAAAGTACAAAGGAAATCAACAAAAAGTTGCTTTTCAGCAGAATACTCTCTTTCTGGGAGTCGAACCCAGCTTTCGCCCGTTAAATTACGGAAGACCGTAAGTGACAGGCGCGTGTACTAACCGATATACTAACAAAGATGTACAACGAAATTTTCAATGCAATATTTCCCGACTGTGATCCAAGATTCAATATCTTCCTTCGTTTCGTCCGTCTCTTTGAGCCGCACTATTAGTTTGGTATGGGCATGCCCGGGCCGCACGCTCCCCTGCGACATATTCAATGATCTCAACTCTTCCAGGGTACCGTGAAGCCGCATCTTCTAGCTCAGGTGAACTACCATGGGCACCAGCGTAGGTGAAGGCTTACGGATCTTTGGCTGCAAAATTGTTCACAAGAGCTAGGCCTGAAGGATTGATGAAGGGGATCCATTATATTAGCACTCAGAAGAGAATTTAAAATTTAAAAAAAAATCACCTAGACCTCTAGCTGCGCCTGTTATGAGATATATGTTTACAGGAGTGTTAGACATGTTAATTGGGAAGATGATGACTCGGATTAGGCCAATGCAGTCATCGGCGCCACGGTGATTCCCACGCGTTCTTAAAGTTCAGCACCTTCTTTGGTGACCGACAGCCTATTGGACATTTGACAAATTGACATGTCTCCGTCCCACAATAGGCCTTCTATACAGTCATCTGACTCGACCCAGCATGTCGGTTTCCTCTGGCTCTATATTCAGACGCATACGTACGTTGAAGTGGGAAACGATCAAACCTTATGGTCAGCGCATATAACAGGCAATCTTCCTTTCCTCCTCCCCACTTCGCTTCGCAGATGGCCATCACACACCTTTGTCGAACCTGCTCCAAGACTTTCACTACTCCTAATGGTCTGAAGTGTCATGCTGGGGCGAAGCACCCTAACTCTCCCGTGAAAAAGGGCCGCAACTTCAAGTGCCCCTTTTGCCAAAGGATGTTCAAGAGCCCCTCCGGCATCGCGCAACACATCGAGTCGGGATACCACAAAGTTACCCGACACCAAGTCACAGCCGCAGTTCATAACATGCGCATCATCCCCAATATCTCTGTCAAACGCATCACTGGTCCGGTGCAACCCTCCACCACGCGTACCACCTACATTGCTACCGCGGCCTCCTTGCACGGCAACAAGTACAAATGCTCCCTCTGCAAGCGCGAATTCAACACGCTTGGGGGATTGAATAGCCACCTCAACTCTGCGGCGCACGACGATAAGGAGTTCAGGTGTCCTAAGTGCAAGAGGGAGTTCACGCTCGTCTCGGGGTTCGTGCAGCACCTCGAGTGCCAGGCCTGCGGACTCACGAAGCCTGCCGAAATTAATGGCTACTTCAGGAATCTGACAGGCCGGTTCTCGAGGTTGCTCACGATGTAGGTGAGGGCGGGGAACAACAGGTGCGTGAGTCTTTGCTTTTGTTGTGCGGTACCCTTATCTGGTCTAGGAGGTTGGAACATGGGTTAACATCGTCTTGGCGGTGGCGTTAACCCGTTTTGCAGCCTTCGATTTCCATCGACTGCTTCGCTCAGACGATAAAGCGGTGGGTGATAAAGGTAAATGTACTCGTAAACATGTGTCCGTCGAAAGTGGAAGTAAAATATTATCTCTGTCGTTCTCCGAAATCCTGTACAAATAACTCCTTAGGTTTGACTCTATACCAATTCTGTGTTGCGTTTGGGCGTTGAATATCGCTTGAAATTGGCATGTTGTATCTCCAGAACTATCTACTTTGCAGTCTCCGATACTTTTCGTCGATAACATCTGGATTTGGAACTCACTCATTCCGAGCCATCGATAGTGACACGTCAACGCGTGCTTCTGACACTTCTTAAGAACTACCAGCGTTAGTGATTTCCAAACTTGCACTATCTTTCCAATTGCTTTCCATGGTAATACGTCGCCGCATCTGGGTAAGATGACTTTTTGCGCTTCGAGTCTATCCAATTTCTTGTACGCTCATATCTGAAGCCCACGATTTAAGAAAACAACAACATACCTCAATCTGAGTGTGCAGCGTTAAGAACATCACACCTCTAAGGGTGACGCTGATGAGGTATTCCAAGGTGTGCTTGTTGTGTTTTAGTTACATTGGAAAACTCTTGCGTCACCTCAGCTACTGAACCGCACACGAAGAGGATTTAGTCTGTGACGGGTTGGGGTATAATTCCAGTTCGATTGGAAGCGATGGGAGGACGTAGATTGGACTTGAAACCATATCCGTGGGTGCTTTTACTCAACGATCTGCATAGAATTACTGATTTGGTATCCTCCGTGTAGCCGTATACTATCACGGAGTCGGCATATTGAGTATCGCATCTAATTTCACGCTCAGTTAGCATCCTTCAGACAGATGGTCGTATCCGGGCCTGTTATATTTTATGTCGGCTGTACTGCAGATCGTTTTCTTTTTTATACAGCCACTTCGAACAACTGAGTGATAAATTAGGTCTCGCATGATGTTTTCCGAAAATTTTCATGATATGTAGTGTAGAAAGATGAAATACGCTATCATATGGTATCAAACATTAGTGTATGCCTTAAATATCCAACGAGGGGCTTAAAATTAAGAATACGTCAGGGAAAATACGTCCAGAAGGGACATAGTCCCCATGTATATTTATCTCTTTGTTGATCTTCCTAGTCTAAACTATGATCGCCCATGTGTTAAGCCCATATCTAACCGTGTATCAGTGTTTTTTTTATCGACCATAACTCAAATATTTTACATCCGTTACGGTATTTCGAGAGTGGCGATATTCAATACGACCGACTCGATAAGCGTTCATCCGAAAGACTCTATTTAACTTTTAGCAAAGAGTTGAATGCATGTTCGAGAAATCTAACATACCCGCATGCTTTATTCACTGAGAGATTATTTCTAGCCCACTAGCCCATGCATCTTCCAGACAACAAAAACGTAGCTTCAACAATTGTCAGTGCTCTCTTTTATGGAGTCCATCTCACAACACTTTTCCACTGCCTTCGATGGCTCGTCTTTATCGATGATGGTTGTAAATTTCGGAAGAACATAAATTATATGATGCTTTCTATTACAATCATCCTTTTTTTACCCTCGACACTTTCCAGAGGGCTGGACCTTTACTATGCAATGGCGCAAATCGTCGATGAAGGACATAAAGAGCATAATAGAACATGGATAGCGGTGATTACAGTGCATATATCACTTACTCTGTTTCTGTCTCCGTCACACTAGACGTCTAAGTAGTGCGCTGATACGAATATCTCAACGCTGCTCGCGGATATCGTCCTAGTAAGCACACCTACACCACCAGCGCCTCACAATTTAATTTAAAATAAATAAATACAGATATATCGCTGCTTCCTCGTACACGGACGCTATAAACGGGTCATTGTGTTACCGATGTTCTTCTAGCTCGGGGACATCGTGCTCACAACTCTTCAAGTTTGGAAAATAATTCAGAAACCTTCAGCCTTAGAAGCTTGGGATCTTTCGAGCACGCCAATTGCCTTAGGGACCATCTTTATGCCTTTTTGGGCTTCGACGATAGCACTTAATGCATATACGGCATGTGGGTTTTAAAACGCATAACGTTAGGCGCCCGGTATTCACACCAACCGATTCGTTTCATAGTTATGATTGTTCGGCGTATCTATCGTGTGATTAAAATGTCTAAAGCGAGCACTGATGTCCGGCAACTACAATTCGCAATCAGGATCTTAATCGAGTCAGGATTCCTGTACCTTGCAGTAGCTATCGCGCATTTTGTGGCGTGGTTCACGACGAGCACATATGCGATTGCTTTTATATCAAGTATCGTGAGTTTATCCAGACATCTGCAATGGTTCCACGTTGTATAGCTGACATTGACAGAACATCTCCGTAACCGGAGTCTTGTCCAATTTAATCCTCATCCGCACCGCTACGCACCATGTTAAGGAGATGTCGAGAATAGATCAGGACGCGGACGCGATATCTAATCTTCATTTCCATATTGCAGCTATGAAATATCTTGGAAATCCCCATGGATTAGAGACATATATTGGTGTAGAATTACAGCTCCGTAGAAATGACGAGGAGCAGGGAACCACAACACTTGACCTTAGTAGATGCAATTCTAACTCAACGCCGTAGGTCAGAACGGACATCGACATCTCAAGTAACATGGAGTAATAAATTAGGTTACTTCAAACCTGATTGTCCTAAACAGACGGAGACAAAGGATGCGGATACAGACAGCAGGCAGAATGATGTATAGGCAAAAATGGTGTGTTGAAACTGACACGTTTCCCACAGACGACATACCACTTGGTATGAAGAACTTTCTCCTTCAAGTTCTGCTCATGTGAATGTCGGGGTTAAGATTAAGCTGTGCAGCAGAGCATCACGATTCGGATGATCCTAATTCTATGATAGATACGAGTACAATAAAGGCGTACATGCGATTGGAAATTTGAAGTGTTCTACGAACGATAAAGCTATATAAATGGATATTCAAGCCTTCGAAGTGACGACTTACAATGGTTCAGTTTTTTCTATCGTACTTTCCAGAGCCCTCTGATGAATGCATCGATCATAGCGTTTAGGATCCCAGGAAAAGAGAAGGGAACAAATTCCCAAAAATGTGAGAGTATGTGTGTATTTTTATACCCGCTCACGATTATGTCCAATACAACAGTGATCATCTGTATATGAAAGAATTTATTTCACAGCATCCTGTCGTGTATCGCTCTATTCTGAGGAATCACTCCACTCAGGTCCTGCATCTGTTGCGACAGTCATTGAATATAGTAATACTCCCAGCGGGTAGAAATAAGTAGTTGCCGGTTCCGCGTATACAAGTACCTTATAATAAGCAAGAGAGCGCACTGGCGGTTTCCGAGTTGCCCATCATCCATCCAACCGCCGTACCCAACAGAGGGCAATAGCCTTCGCTGGTCCCCGTCCCAAATCGACTAATATGCTTCCTGACAGCCAAAACGTTGGTGCAACTTTTGCCAGCGCTCTATTCTATGGCCTCTATCTCACTACCTTGTTCCACTGTCTTCGATGGCTGGCCTTCACTGATGATGGATGGAGCTTTCGCAAGCAAATCAACTGGCCTATGCTATCGATTACACTCAT